ATTCTATATATTATATTTCTATATATATAAACCTGGCCTTGCTGCAGGTCCGGGGTCTCAGCGAGGGGATGGAGAGCAGTGGGATGGGTTTTGGGTATGGTGACTCATGGTGTTGGTCCTCTTGGGGGCTTGAGACAGCTTGGCTAGTCCTGGGGACGTTTGAGGTCTCGCTGTCTCATGCCATGAGCATATCTCCAGCAGCTGAAGGGACCACGGATGGTGCTGAGCCGTGGGTGCGCTGGTGGGATGCGTTAGTCCGGCGTGGGCTGGGTGGGATGGCAGCATCGTGCTGCCCAACTGGATGTTCCTCCATCCTGGTGGTTGCGTCTTGGAAGGGAAACCAAGCAGAATGAGGGAGCAGTCCTTGAATTTGGGGGTCTCCAGACATTATGTTTTATGAGAGGTTGAGACATCGGGGAGCCTGGAAGGAAAGTGAGAAATGAGGAAGATTTTTCCTCTAGAGAGGGAACAATTGAGGCGTGTGAGCATCCCTCTGACAGTCCTCCTCTCGGCCACAGGTCCCGATACAGTTCCCTTTTCATCAGACACACATTTCTCCTTGGGATGCCTTTCCCTTTGCCCTTTCATGTGGGGGGAACTGGAACTGGGAGAAACCCCCCGCCTCTGCTCCTGCCCTCCTGAGCCCTGCCCTAATCTGCTGTTCTCCAGGGGGGCACAATTTGGCTCAAATAATCCACTTGACCCCAGACCTTTCATTCCTGATGCTTTGCCCTCTGACTCCTCCGCTCTCCCTGGGAAATCCTCGCTTGGCTTTGGCTGCTGTCGGCTTGTCAGCGGCTGGTGTCACCCCTAATCCCAGGAACCGCTTCAGCCTCGGGATCTCCTGCCCTTCCTTCTCTTCCCACCCCATCCACGGCGGTCTCAGGAGGGACACGCTGCCCAAGGACGGGGTCCAGGACAGGATGCTGGTGACTCTAGGGTTCAGATGAAGGGTTAAGATGAAGGAGAAAGTATTCTGTTTTTTTTTTATAAGTGTCACCAGAGTCCTTACGGTGCCACAGACGGTGATGTCCCCATACCCGTGGCCGTGGAGGAGGGGGTTTGCTGCTTCCAGGTGGGATTTACAACACGAGGGCACAAAACCTCAGGTTGAGGAGCTCCAGGGGATACCCCGCATGGTCCGCAGCAGGGGGGTCTCC